CATAATGCACACATTTCAGCATTGCAGAAACGAAGAAAGCAACTGTCCACAGACGAACATTGTAGATAATGGACGTTTTAACCCTTATCCTGCTCGACCTGAAGGTTATAAGAGTTTCCCACCTGTATAGAGCTAGACCAGCCTGCACATCCGTTTAGTCTAACCAACATCTAAAATGTTGGCTGATAAACATACGCTTTTCATTTTATTATCCCCAAAATTGACAATTCACAGCTCAAAAACTGGACGCTGAACATTTTTAAGAACTTTCACAGAGTAAAGGTTAAAAAATATATAAACTAGACATGCAAAATCACTATTCCGTTCTTTAAAAAAATTAGATGACTTGCCTTTAATGATAGGAACACAAGCGGTGTTTTGTTGTTGTGATATCACATAATCTCGCGAGATATCCAGCGTCACCATACTGTTTATCTAAATATTTCAGAGCGTTCGTTTGTGTTTTAAACAAAATAAAACTGGTAAGGTCGTTTAAGTTCACAGTGCAATCAACTTTTTATGTTTCCTTGAAAGGTGATGACAAGTTCAATTGAAAGGCAAGTGCACGTCTTTTTATACGAGTTAGTAGCCGATGTATGCATTTTCTTAGAATCAGAATCAGAATACAATGTACTACATGACATTATAACCTTACTGTATTTTAAGTAGGTAACAATGAAATATATAGATTCGTGCAAGGTGCAAATAAAAACTTCACTTCTAAATTGTCCTTCTGAGCAACAACAACGACAACAACAACAAAAATCGCAAGAGCACTAGACCAGCAAGTTATTATAAGTTACAAAAATACTATTACATTTCATTATTTAAACAGTAAATACTTACTTTTATCAATCTATGCAACTAATGAGTTATCAAAAAACATATGATATATCAACAGAATAGTGACTGCTACAAATGATATACGACTGTAACTACAAGAAGTAATTTTCTTGAAATAATCCAAATGCTAAAAAGCTAAAAAATAATAATCTTTATGCAGAAATAAGACGCAACTCTTAAATAAGACGCATGTCTCCTGCTGAAATTGTGTCTATCTTCGTTAAATACAATTGCAGTAAAAAGCACGATACTCTGCAGTCAGTTGACGATATTTAAAGAAAATGACACATATAGAAAATATGTTATGTAAAAAATATAGAAAAAGAAGAAACATGTTATGTGTAATTTACTTACAGCGCATCATAACCATAATTTGTGATAGAAAAATATATTTGAGAGAGATTATCTTAATTTGCTTCAAGAACACATCACCCCAAACACCAGCACTCTAACACCAGTCACCAAACTGTGTAATACTGTAAAAATAAGCGCCGATCATAAATCTTTGTATCATGTTTTTGCGCAAAAATAGCGGAAATCGATCTGATGTGATTTAAATGAAATAATTTGACAGGTTATCTACTGTGTTGGTGTTAATTTGATTGAGAACCTATGCATTTTAATTGTTGCCGTGTCTTTAATGTGTTAAGCTCGAGCAAAGGTAAGGCAAAGGTTATCAAAGATCCGTAACAGAGATGGCGCAAATTGTATTGAAAAGTTATAACAAAAGGGAAAATTGATACTGTTTTATGAAGTGTTTTTCATTAATTTTTTATCAAACATTTACATGACAATTGGTTACAGTATAATATATTTAATTGAATTAATTGCATTGCACTTCTTTATATACAAATTCCTATATGATATATTGATGCAATATCACAAATAGACATAAATTTTAAAACCCTTTCGATAAGAAAAATGTTAGCATATAAAAGTTTAAGGAACCGAAAAAATACCAGTCTTAGTTTTTATTGTCAATCATATTTGCCTTTGGCCAATTACAAGTACACAGAACAAAAAAGAAATATTACGGCAAAGAAAATCACATACATGAAAGTTAATTGTAAAAAAATAATAAAGAACAAAATATAAGGAAACATGATAATCTTCGAGAGTTTTTTGGTGTAAACGTAATGCTTCTATAATGTATCATATATTTTGCAAGATTCATTCTGTTACTTTTAGTTGACATTAATACATTGAACTTTTGAAAAGTAGGCCATAAAAATGACACAAATATTTGGAGGTTATATAAGCATTTAAACAACATGATATAGATAGTGATATTCTGATTCTATTGAATTTTCATTGCATAGCATACACAATCTACTATTCCTTTCTACATTAATTCCTTTCTACATTATTATATTTTCCAACATGAAATCAATAGCATGCATTCAGTGATAGTTTAACACGTTTACCACAATGACTGTAACTTTCAATCTATTCTGAATGAAATATTTACTTAAAATTATGAACATTTTGAAGGACATTAAGGCCTAGAATGTTTCCGCAGAAGAAAGACATACTTTTGTTATAAAATGTTTCAATAATGGATTTAGAGCATGTTATGTACTGTACCTATCACGTAGAGAATGGTGTTTCAAATATGAAATAATTTGTCATAAAAGCAGCAAAACGTAATCAAAGTCATATAAATTTTGTCTCCCAGACCAAATACTTATTCTCTATAACTTTTCTATTGGCCAAAAACATACAATTGTTCGGATACCGTTGTAACAGAACATAATTTTTGAAAAAGAAGAGAAAATAAACCAAATCCGTAAAGAACGTTAAATATCGGCAATATTGAAAATGTTGCAGGCTCAGTTTGATTGAGTCTGTTATTGACGGTAGAGGTATCTGCAAGCTATCGTCCACGCCCACTAGCACCGGCTATACAAGATAGTATGTAGAAGAGTTAAAGAAATGTATAAACATTTCAACCCATTTCAGCTTTTGTATGCATTATGTAAATATGCCTGAATCTGCTACTTCATCACTGTATCTCTTACTAACTGGGTAGGTATTTATACCGTTTACTTTTAATTTTCGAAGGTGATTAGTTCTTAATACTAGCTTAGCTTAAATGACTTTAATTGTTCATTTGACACCAATTAAAGTATTTTAAGTCTTTCTCAAGTTTCGTTACGTGCAAATCTGCTGCAATTTAACATTTGTTAAGACCTGCATTCAAATAAAAACTGCTATTGACGCCAAATTTTCTTACAGTTTTATTTAACAATGCACTTTATTATCTTTTATTGAATGTGCATTTTCTCCTTCTAAAAACAATTTTTTAACAATGGCACGATGATAATTATTGGCATATTTTGTCCAGCAAATAACTACATGCACTAAGAAATGTTAGAAACTTTCTAAAAACCACTTCGGAAACATTATTAACTCTGCAGAGATCTACCCCAAAAAGGACTTCAAAATAAATTACACCTATCAACAACACCTCTCAACAACAATGAAAAGTTCTCGGCCCAATATACTTCTTGCCACTACACTGACATTTACACACGATACGTCGATACCGATATCTTATTGAAGATTACTGACCGAGTTACACATTAAGTAACACCAAACACACTTTGATCAGTAGAGGGGTGTGCCATTTAGACCAAATGGAGAAAGTTGAAATCAGAGCCATTAAGTACCTCAGTAAGAAAGGGATGTCCCCAAGTAAAACCATGAATACTTCGTGGATACACTACCGAAGGAGTTCCCTTCGTATAGCACTGTGAAAAAATGGGCTGCTGAATTTAAGAGGGACAGGGAGAGCATTGCAGATGATGAGCGGCCACCAACGATGAACCTTTCGAAGCTGTGCACGATCTGGTCATGTGCGACAGAAGTCGAGACCTACGAAGCACTGCTAGGGAAGTGGGTATAAGTTCAGTTCAGGCAATTCAGACTGATGTCTATGGCATGTCCAAGGTTTCCGCTAGATGTTGACTGACGACCAGAAACCGACCATTCTTGACATTTCAAGAAATCTTTCGTCTTGCTACGAGGATAACCTGATTTTATTACCGGATCGTAACTCAGGATGAAACATGGGTCCATCACTTTTATTTTGAAGGGTTAAACAAGTTGGAGCACAGGTGGGCAAAGTGCATTGGTGTAGAGGGCGATTATATTGAAAAGTAAGACCATTAGTTGGGTTCTCTGACTACCGAAAGTACTTCGGGCCGAGAACTTTTTGATCAATTCTCGTAGTCACAAGGTCTCCGATATACACATGCATTTATTTCAGACGTTTATATTCACAAGTCAACATCTGACAGAACCGAAGAAAACAATATATGTAAGGGTAAAAGATATCATTTTCAAACCAAAACTGGTCAGGTAATAATTCTATTTTCATAGCACGTATTATTATAAAAACAATAATTATTGTACATCTAGTAATTTCGAAGATGATATAAGCTTAAGTAGTCTCTTGCAATTATTCCAAGAATAATTATACGTTTTATCTGTGCTATATGTGTTTATAAACTTGTAAAGAGGAGATACAAGGGGTAATAAACTGTAGTTTAGCTAGATGACTCATCTCGGAATTTGATCTTTAAAATAGTCATTTTGTTATACATAACACATTGGTCTTCTCTTTCAGCAGTGATCATATCAAGGGGTATTAAACTGTTGTTTAGCTAGGTGACTGTTCTCGGAATTTGATCTTTAAAATAATCATTTTGTTATATAACATATCGGTCTCCTCTTTCAGCTGTGATCACATTAAGTACATATCACAGGCATATTACAATTGATTTGTGGATGTCAAGCGATGAAGCTGTTGAATTATTGTTCATGTATATGTATTTGGTAATACTCTGTCCGGATTCTACCTGGGACCACCCGTTCGGGATCTACTCGGGACCATCCGTTCGGGATCTACCCGAGACCAGCCGTCCGGGATCTTCTCGGGACCATCCGTTCGGGATCTAACCGGGACCAGCCGTATATACCAGTAAACGAGCCAGACGCTGTACTACTATAATGTGCAACTTCTGCAATATTTACTTATATGTAAGTAAGTATATAAGATGTACCCCAAATACACTAAATAAATAACACTCACGGGAATTTATCTATGCATGTACTTAAACATGTACATGTATATACAAAGGAAAAACAAAGTCAGGTTTTACAAAAATTGCAGGATGTATTTTCATTACAAAGAAACAGAGAAGTTTAAGCATAACATTGCAAGAATGAATAACAAGTAGGCGTGTCATCTGATATACCGGATGCCTATGATTGAAATGCAAGTCGTCTTGATACTTTGCCCGGTATAATCTGTGTAAAAAACCTGAAAATTGTCAAAAAGAAAAATATGTTAGCAATGAAATACCGATAATCTGGGAACGAAATGTGTAAAACAGTATCAAAAATTCACCTTTTAATTTGTTCTAATAATTCACCTTTTGTAAAGCACTGAAATGCGTTTTACACAATTTACTGTTAAGTTGATATTTAAATATATTTATTTCATTCAAATACATTATCAATGACATTTTCATATCACATTTACATGCACGTAAGGTTATTAACAGCAACAGACAACAACATGACAGACAGATATATCAAGATACGATGAGATAACTTGGTCTTTAATCTTTAAAATAACACAAACACAATTTAACACAGTTTCTAGATAGATGCTTTATTTATTTTTTTTTTAATTTAAGAATAAAAGACTTACATTATTTTACTCCATTAGTAGGATTACTGAAGTTTCCTACAAGGATAAAATCATCGTCCCGTACGAACAAAAAGAACAGGACAAACAGTAGACCAAGCATTCCCAAGATATCTGTAAAATATTACGAGAAATAAGATTACCTTTGACATCTTTAACCGTTACCTTCTGGGGGATCTGAATAGTTACCGTATAAGATTGTCGTGGTCCCAGAACGGTTGCCAAACAATATAATTAGTAGAAATAGTAGGCCGAGCAGGGGCAAAAACGCTGCAAAGAAATTTAACTACACTTTGAAGTAAACTTACTATAAAATTAAGAAGAAAATGCCCTTTGCAATTTCAAAAGAAAGATGACTTGTTTTAGTAACGTTATAATTTGAAAAAGTTTACTTTAAAACTTGGTCAACCGTTTTCCAGGATAGACTTAAAGTGAACTTAATTACTGACATTTAACATCCATTTAATCAAGGCAAAGAAGTGTCCTCTAGTAAAATATATTCCAGCCATTGGCTTGTTTTCTTTATTTCAAGGACGTCGTTTTAACTTATATAGTTGTGACTACGGGTACCTCTCAACACAGAAAACAGATACCAAGTGAATGGAAGCTAATCGATGTTAAACTGAAATATCTATATGTTGAATAAAAATTTTGACAAAACGTTCATGTTGGACCAAACGTTAAAACATAAAATTCACAAAACAAAAAGTTAAAATGCAATACATGATTAAAAAAGATAAACATTTACTAATCATACACTTTGTAACAAATGTGTCGCTGACTCATAAATTATTGGAGACAATATTGAAATATTAAGTTGAAATAAAGAATAATTCGTACAGCCTCCGACGCTTTCTTGCTGTTGACCGCCTCCATATACTCCATATGGGTTATAAAACTGGCACACCACTACACCAATGACGCAAGCCAAGGCCAGGACCGCTACTACGACAGCCTTCATGGTGAATGGACTAAAAGTCAAATGTATATAAATATTATAATATGTAACAAAAAGTATCAGATATTTCGGGCGAGTAAATTATTGTCATTTATATTTCTATGTAGTTATTTTTCATCAATAAAATACATGTAATTTCGTTCTTTTTGGCAGTGCCTATAAAGTTACGATTGGTTCTGTTTCACATACTTGAATTAATATTTCACAATTTTTTTTACAAAACTTAAAATCTAAAATTTTGTCCAAATCTTAATGTACATTTCCATTTAAAAAAGTTTAAAATTATGATAGTTGAAACGTTTCTGATTACAATCGTTTAGCAAGTTATCCAAAATTGTAGTATTTAAAATATTAAGCTTCTCAAATGAAAAATCAAACAAACAAAAAACGAAAGTTTAAACTCACTGTCCCTGGTGTCCCTTGTTACAAGGGCGATGACAAGACTGTGTCGAGAAAGATCCCACTAACAATCTTATAGTCACATGGGCATTGTCAATGAAAATAAACGGAACTACTTTATTGGCGGATTATTCGTGTATTGCTTTTGACAAAATAAGTACCGCCCATTTTTTCCCGGAATTTATAATTCGTCGCACTACTTTACGAAATTGATGTTGAGGATCAAATTTTATTGTTGCAATTAAATTGTCCAGCATCTGCCTTCTTCCGGATAAACAACTTGCTTTAGGGAAAATTTATCAATGGGATTGCCGTTCGCCAATTAATGTTTCAATGCACCAAACAATTACATTTTTCGTTGTTTTCATTTTGATACAATAATATGTAATGTATTTTAGCGCAATTACCAATTTTGACCATCTTTCGTTATATTATTATTATGAACCCAAGATTGTTCCGCCTTTCACAGAAAAGGATAAAAAAAGCACAACACAATTTTATTTTATATTGGTGTGCTGTGAGATAAAAATATATGTTTTACCACACCGTTTGATAAATATTATTTACTAAAATGTATGAGTTTTGATAAAATATCGTTAAAGCATTCTATTTCAAATATAATTATATGAATAGGTTGGATATCAAAATAAACCTTATTACTTCGTTTTATTTATTGTTTAATGACTAGTGTACAAAAACAATTAATAATTTACTACCCATAAAAGTTGTGAGATATTTACAACAAAATGTCCTTGCGGCAATCTTTTAACTTATTACCAGTATTTGATAGTTAATCATATTAAAATAAAATTGAATTTTAATAGAATTTGCGTGACAAATCATGTATATTCTTGACCAATGAAAATATGAAACGAATTTTGACGAGCGTTCACGGAAATTTACGAATAGGAACTGGGCGGGTAATATGGCTGCGAATTTTGGGAAGTACATCTTTGACGTTAATAGGTTGTATAAAGCTATGTCTCGATTTCCGTTCTAGCCACAGACGTAGGAATCTGTCACAAGTACAGGACCAGCGGAAAAGTAAGATTTTTTGTCATATTTAAATTTCAATATCCTTACAAAAAGATTTATATAGACAAATATAAAAGCCATTGAACGATTCTCGTGTTATTTTCCTGTAAAAATTCTTAATTTAATACAAAAAATGCCTGATTCTATGCGCGCTATGAAGTCTTAAAGGTAATATTTTAGTCTTTAACAGTCTCGCATTTGTGTGTATATTTTTATATAGCTGATTTTTCGTATATGGATTAATAGACTGTGTAGTTTTTATTTATTCGTTATTTTTTTTTCAACTGTAGCAGAAATTAAGAGTTAACAGATTATTTTGTTTTGGAAAGATCTGTTTTAATTTGTGTCTAGCTTTTTGTTATAACTGTTTCAACTTTTGCAATTAACAAATTACATGTTTTTTATATAACAAGATAACAAAAAATATAATAAAAGCAACAAAACTGCTATTTTTTTCATTTCTTCTTCGTCTTCTTATTTTTGGGGGGTATTCTGTTAAAATTTCTAGAACGGTACTCGTTCAGTCAGTGAAAATAAAGTGATTACGTATTTTGTATTGAAGACAGGTAACCACTTTGTTTAAACTCGTTATTTTGTTATTTTACAACAAATTACTTCACATTTAACACTTCACGTGGTAATCATTTACATGTTCTAAATCCATTTATCAAACAAAATAAAACAAGCTTTGTCTTTGATTCAGAAGAAAAACAATATTCATTTCTGAATAAAATATGCCTTTAAGTATAGTTTTTTTGTTGTACTTTTTCAGAGGGAGTTTTTGTTTAAAAATATACTATAATTATGTTACAGATACGTGATGAAGCTGGTCGGTATATCCGCTCTGGCATTGTTTTGCCTGCTTGTAGCCGGTGTCACCTGTAATTACTACGGTGGTGGTGGGGGATATGTCCCTTATTATCCGCAGCAAACTAACAACAACAGTTGGTGGGGAAGTATGTCTTACTGTTTATTGAATATTTTACCTTTTTTTACTTATCTTTACTCCGCGTGTATTAATGTGCATTTTTACTACGTGTGTATTAGTGCGCATTTTACTACTTGTGTATTAATGCGCATTTTTTACTACGTGTATATTAATGCGCATTTTTACTACACGTGTATAAATGTGCATTGTTTAACAGTTTATAGTTCTTCCCCAATTGCCGTTTCTTTTCATCTGTTTTAATTATTTTACTGTTGATGTTAGGCCATTATTTGTATTTGTAGTTCCTCAATTGTAGTTAAATGAATATTTTAGTCTGTTTCAATTATTTCTCTTGTTATTATTTGAACATTTTTATTTTGTTTTTGTTATAATTATTTTTTTTATTTATTTTTAGTTCTTCCACTTTTGTTCCTCCTGATATTCCTACCACTATTCTCTCAGAGCAACGATCAACTTGTTCTAGTGAACTCTACACTTGAAGGATAAAAAGGGGTATGTGTTTTTGTGAACTAATATGTTACAATCTTAATCGTGAGTACCAGAGCATATTGAAGGAATGTTGCATATTGAATTTATGGAAGCAATTTATTTACTTTCTTGAATTTAGTATTGAAACTATACGCATAACCGATTCTTTTTACAGTAAAAAATATTTTATTTTTTCATTGACGCGTTGTAGTTACTACGTTTTACGCAATATTTGCATAACACAGGATGGACGTCGCGTCTTGATGGCCATGCAATGAGTCGTAAAAGCGATAGTTGTCTGTGATAAATGATCTAAAACTGTGTCAAAACAATTGACAACATTATATCAACACATGAGAAAATATAATTAATGTTGTTTTTGTTGTTGTTGTTTTTTACAGTTTCTGATGAGTCCGGTTCACAAGTTAATGCGAAATGTCGACATATTTTTCTGACTTCATGCGTCACAGAATAATTTCAAATGAATCACGACCTTGCGTACGATGATGCTGACTGTGTAAAGAGATATGGTCCCTCCCCCAGCTAGTTGTTGTACATATTTGTTGATAGAGACGTTTTATTTCATCTTCTTCTTCTACGTTAACCACGTTATGTTTTATTTCACTTGGTTGTTTCTTGTTTCTTTTGTGATCATTTATTAATAAAATAATGTCTGCAGGATACCAAATAATCATGGTTGTTGTTGTTCTTTTGTTTACGATATGATATACATGTACATGTATTTGCCGCAGTTTGCTGTTATTATTTTTACTGTAGATAAATGATCAGTAAAACTGTATAGCTTTCTTTAATTGCTAGTGGACTAAAGTTTGGTGTAAGAATGTTTGTATTAACTGCATTTGATATCTATCAATGCAATATTGTGGTCGGCATCTGCAACTAGCAGGAAATTTGATGACATTTGAACGCTTCGGTAATCGACATCAGCGCACAAAGTATAGTACCACAATACAACAAGTAACGGCATAGCATTAACATAGTTTTCATTTTTTTTTCTTTTAAGTTTTACAAAAATAGTATTTGTGGTACATACATATCATTATAAGTATATATTTATAAGTATATATGAATTATATCTCGTGTACTTTGGAAACACTTTGTACGTTTAAAGTCATTTGACACAAATTCTTAATTTTACCTAGACCTCTTGGTCGATTATAAGCAGCATGTCGCAAAAATAATGACCTTAGCACTACGGATCTGCGGCATTTAAAGACTTGACAGTCCCGAGGTTCAATTCCATGAAACGTAACTTGCCTTTCAAATGCAGGAATGAATGTGAGCAGTTAACAGTGAATTGTGAGCAACACATTGTATAGAGAAATCAATGGTTTGCTGGATTTGATTATAAAGAAATGATAAACTCTGGTGAAAATGGTTGTCGGGAAATATTTGTCGGGAAATAATTGTCGCATTAGAGGATTTTTATCGCTATGACGTCATTATTTGAGAAAATACCAATATGGCTGCTCACATATAATTGATTTAACACTTACGTTAATTCATTTCATTTTTTATATATTTGTTTAACCATTGTTCAGTTATAGTAGACTGAGAAAGTTTAACTGATATATATTGCTAAATGTTTACAAACATCTGAAAAAGGAGATATCTCTCAGAAACAATAATAACAAAATCAAAAGGTAATTGCAGACTATAGGTTTGATTAAGCCTGTTCATAAAAGAAACTAACTAGAAAATACAAGCCCCCCCCCCCAGCACCGGCCTAAGCTGTATTCAATTTTAAAAACTAAATGTGCTAGAAGTAATGATTCCAAAGGACAAGAAAAATATAATTACACTAAAGTTAAGTATGGGTCTACATTTTACATCTGCCACACGGAACTTGACACCTGATGTTGATATATAAATAGTATATAAATCTAAAAAAAACAAAACAGGGGAGATCACTACGTGACTACCAACGTCCACCATCTGCTCGATTCGTCGCATCGGCTTTGTATGCAAGAAACGATGGTCCCAAAGGAACAACGTAATTATCTTTCTCTGAATGTTTATTGTTATCTTATATTACAGGTGAAAATATTGACTGCCAATGTTTAATAATATTTTAAAGCTAGCGCAAGCTTATTATGACGAAATTCTGAAAATGTCTTTCTTTCGGATAAGGCTCCAATGAGGTTAAAAAGCATAAGAACCTAAAATTTTAATATCTTACATAGATCAACCGGGGCACTTAAATCTGAAAGATATGCAAAATATATTTAACAAATATACGCATGCTAGTTTAACCTGATATGAGTGAAAGTGTTGAATAACTTTTTAATTTTTGATCATTTTTTACTATTTATCTTTCTAGAAAAACGCAGTGAGCAAATGATCTGGAATTTTGCACACAGGTTATTGGTCTATAGAAAGAATATTAAACGACATATGTTGGGTCTCGTTAGCAGATCGCCGTTTATGCCAAAAATATCAATAATGTACAAAGCTAAAAATGAGGAGCTTTCAAGTTATCTGGACACTTTATTCTCAAATATTGTCTCAGAAAGTAGCCAATATAACCTTACAAATAATGATAATTATGTTACATTAGCAAGACGAAGAGAAATATTGTCTACATCATTTATACACTCAGCAATTTCGGCTTGGAATACTCTTGATAATAATGTACGTGCCTCACCTTCTTTAAATATGTTCAAAACGAAACTAGAAGATAAAATTCAAACCAACACAAGTTGCTTTTATTATTTAGTTAATTGGATAAAGAGTATTTTCTGTTTACCATGCACGTTTAATGATGATCTGTATACCAATCACTTAGCAGACTCCCTTAATTGTGAGTTTTGCCATATCGAGGAGAATGCTGAACATTTCTTTTTTAACTGTCAAAGACTCCAACTTTTCACTTCTACTCGCTCATTTCATCCATTAGGTACAAGTAACTTCCTTTATGGAAAAGAAAATTTATCAGACGAAGAAAACTCTTTTTTATTTATATATGAAGAAAAACACATATAAATAATCATTATTAATTACATGTAATTGCAAAATTTACAATTGTTGTTCCATTTTAAATTCTTTTATAAATTACAAATTCAAGCAGCCATTTAAATCATCACATACTGCATGTCAGGAAAATGATTTTTTTAAATTGATAGCTAAAATTTAATTTCCTCTTTTTAAAAAGTTAGTGTCGATTTAGTTTTGTTGTTTTATATTTGTATCCGTTTTAATCTTTGTTATTGGTTTAAACATGTTATCGTTTCTATATCTTAGAATGCTTAAGGAAAAGACAATTGGTAATGTTACCAGAAATTGTTAAAGATATACTACGCTCAGATTTGATATTAGAAAATATTGATAATTGCTACACAGTCTCTATATAAATATCAAATAAAAATGATTGACTTCACACAAAGTATATGTCATCTTAAAAAGACTGCATACTTCAGGTGGTCACAATATGGATAATATAGTGTCATTAAAAAATGGCAGTTTTTTTTAAAGAAAAGACCAACTTTTTTGTCTTGTAATATGGAACGCAGCTTCCAATATATTGTTTATTCAAGCTTTTATTCAAATTAGACATATCAGTAAGAATTTCATATATTTCAATAAATTTCTGTGATTAAAATATTTTTCTCACGGATGAGTATATCTTTAAACTTGTTATATAAAATATGTTCTTAAATTGTTTTCAAAGAACAAAAAAAATTATTAAACTAAAATCACTTCATCAAACTTGTTTAAATTATCCATTCAAGATAAACACAGTTCTAAATCATTTTACGATGAATTTTATAATATGCATAACACCCCTTTATCAAACTTTATTACATTGCCCATTGCAGATAAACACAGTTTTAAATTCTTTTACGAAACACAAAAAATTATATAAAAAAAAAAAGATCATCATTTTCGTCATCACAGAAAATGAATGAATGAATGAATGAATGAATGAAGAATGAATGAATGAATGAATGAATGAATGAATGAATGAATGAATGAATGAATGAATGAATGAATGAATGAATGAATGAATGAATGATCGTGCTCAGTTTGCTAGCAATGTGATATAAAAAGAGAATATAGCTTGTTAACAGAAGAACAAGAACAATCAGCACAGAGAATTCGCTCAATTTTTATTTTTATATTGGCAAGTTTTATTAGTAGTTTGAACAATTATTCAACGATAACCTCAAATAATGTTTTAATAAAAAAAGTGTTGTCAGTGATATAATTACAAAATGATTTATAATGTATGACAATAATTTAAAAAATGGAAAAACAAATAAAATTAATGAATAAATAAATAAATAAATAAATAACTTTAAATCATATAATATCTGTATTATGTGTTTTACACATTATAGAACATTTGCCTGCAGATATGTTACAGTTAGATATACATTACTTCCTGTAACATGTCACTTACGTTACACATTGTAACGTAGAGACGGGTAATTGGTGCAAATATTGCGTAACGTAGGTTGCAATTTTATGCATTAGTTCCCCGTATGTAAAACCCGATCAGTATAAAAGCGAGTTGAATTTTTTTTTCGAATACAGAACTTTTGAAGACTGTCAAAGAACTCAACAAGGTAATGCATTCAACTACTTCTTTATATTTCTAAACTCTATAAATTAACGTGAATATAAAGTATAACTTTTAAAAAAGTACATTATTTTTGCGATATGGGTAAATCATAGTTCGAGAAAGTATTTTCAATAATTTATTTGGCGATTACTTTTCTGGAAGAAAGTGCTCAAATAATTTGCAATTTTATAACGGGCTCCTGTAAGTTTAAAACGTTATTATTTTTGATAAAATCATTTTGTTTTCTTTCGAAGAAAAATAAATTGAATAGAAATAAAATGGTTCTGATAGTGTAGTGCAGTTAGGCGTTAACGTATTACTTCTAATTTATTTTTCACTGAGTTGATTTGTTCCGTTAGAAATTTTCACTAAAATTTCCATTTAAAATGAAAGTAATATATTATAAATATATACAATATAGAAAGGTATGTTAATAAAGATATTGTTTTTATGTTTATAGCGTAACCATGAAGACCGCAGTTTGCTACACTATCGCCCTCGCATGCTGTATCGGCCTTGCCCTCGCCGACTGGGATGCCCTCGGATATGGAGGAGGTTATGGAGGGTACGGAGGTATGGGAGCCTCACTTGGCGGATATGGCGGCTACGGCAAGGCCAGCTACGTACCTGTCTACCCAAACACAAATAGAGGCGGAATTGGTAACGGAGGCATTATTGCAAGTAAGTTAAGTTTATAGCATGACATATGGCGGATTTTTTGGTAACCCTTCGAGAAAATAATTAAACATATCATATCAATTTCCGGTTAAAACTCTTTATTTCTCGAAACGCATCAAACTCATTTAAACATTTTCTCATGACTTTTAAAATAACAAAGTAGAATGTTGAACAAGTATGCATATGCATGCTTTACATGCAAAATGGACGGCACTTTTTAAGGATTGAACCAAGAGTTGTACAACTAAAATCATAACATAATAAGTAATCACTACATTTTTTTGATATTTAATAACTAACAGCGTTCATAACTTACGTATAACAATTGAAAAAGAAAATGAGAGCCGAAAGAATGCGTGTTACCAAGTGGCCGTAATTTTATGTATTTCTGCAAATGACCGTATTTTGTTTATATACATGATGCCTTTCTTTCAACGGTTGTGTCATAACGTATTTATTTTCTTCATAAACAGTGATCGGTTTGTTGGTCATCTTGTTCACTTTGTTTGGAAGCAACACCGGAAATGACGATCAGATCGTCCTCATCAACTCCACAGTGAGCGGTTAAATATAGTGTTGTTACCCTAGCAACGGTTAAAACAATGTTAGTATGGTAAGTGTTTCTGAAACTGTCTTGTATATTAGCCATTGATGAACGTATTTTAGTGTATTTGATATTAAGATTAGGCATTGACCTTCTTTTACATACATTGAGAAAGCCTTACTTAAAATTTTCTGATGTCTATTCAATAATTCAAGCGTTTTTCTAACCACTTTTTAATTTAAAAATGTAACATGTAACTGGACATATAGAAATACGAAAAGTAGCCCAAATAACTAAGCCAAACGTTAAAAAATTAACGCTCTCAACAGCAACAGTAGGTCACGCTGCTCCCTTCATTTAAGCTTTATATTTGATTTTTCTACGTCTTCTTCCAGGTAAATTCCTCAACTTTTTGATTTAGAGATTAGTGCCACATCATCAACAGTCCACGAAATAGCTGCCACCACAGTTTTGTACAGACTCATTTTTATCGTTTACGTTACATTATCTTATTTACGTCACATGTCATCACCGTTACATTATTGTTTTTGTTATTATGAATATTGTCGTTATCACTGAATGTCGTGTACGCTCGGGTCAGTCTTTAATAAAGTATTTGTCAAATCATAAAATACTCTTCTTTCTCTCTTATAATTATTATCACCACTTACGTTATCATCACATAACAGTATTGTTATCACTTAATTATATGAAGCGCATTGCTTTATCGCCTACAAACCAAACATAGGTACATCCAGCAAAAAGCTTTTTTTAATTTATAATTACTGTAAGAAACTTAAATGCTGAGATGATACTTCAGTTTATTTATTCTGACCGTCGGAATTAACCACATGGGCCAGAATATTTGCGCTATGTCGGTCCCCTTCTGTAGTACCATCAGCGGCGTCTTGTCATGCTGTACATTCCGATGCATCTTTGACCTTTCAGCACCCGTTGGCGGTAAAAATAGGTAATGACAATCTCACAAACGCTTCTTTTTAACAAAACGGTCTTCTGCAGAGCCTCCCTCTCGACTATGTCACCCAACCAATCCTGGCCTGCCACGTGCCTTAACCGCAACGAGTACGCCTCGATTTGGTGAAAAAGTTACATGAACTTACCTTGATACTTTGATGATATCTTAACTTTTTTTGCAATCACCTTTAACTATTAGCCGACTGTTTTGTTTCATTAGATTTTCCACGGTAGTAGCATTATTCGTGGTAGCAACAGGCTTGTGCTGACCCCTAACCTCTAGGACAACAATAAAGCTCCACTTATATGACACAATTCATAATATTTTTAATGGGGCTAAAATTTTAAAACTAACACGAGATACAGGTCATTATCACAAGAACATTGGAACAGGACCTAATATTGCGACCCGATCCTGTATCAAAATCTGTCTTTAAAAAGATAAGCACAAGATAAGCAAACATACAAAGAAATATTTCTTCTCTGAAACCATGGGCATAATTACTATAATCATAAGAATTTTTATTAGAAACAGGAAATAGAATAAATATAAATATAATATAGATATAACAAATAAAGAAAAGACATAAACAAAGTATCAATTTATTCAAATAAAACAGTAACAAAGAAAGCAAGTTAAACCGAGAAACATATTATAAATATCAAAACTTTATTCATTAAGTCATTAAAAAAGAGAAAATGCATAAAACAAATGTTACGTTTCAGAAAATGTTATTAATAGTATGCATTAATTTAAGCATGATAAAGAATTCAGATGACATATTAATGTCGTTTCAAAGTGTTTTATATAAAATTCAAATTCATATATAAAAAATAACATAAAAAACTTTTGACCATTAACCTACTATAACCCAAAGTGACTTGTCCTTGTCATCAATAAAGAACAAGACCAGCCTGCACATCCTTGTAGTATACCAGCAGGTTCTATACTGATAGGTGACTACCTTAGAATTTTACACCTTGGTATCCCAAAAAAAATAATTAAAAAATTGACATTTTTGAAAAATGAAGTTAGACCAGTCCATCAAAGAATACAGTAGGTTTTTAAGGGGTACTGTATAAAAATAGACAACAGGCGCGTGTTTCAGAATGATATATTTGGATTATTTTGTCAGACTGAGGTGACCTTTCTCTCCCTAGATGATTGACGGCTAACACTGTTACCAGAAGTCCATCCGGAAATCTGTTCCTGGTCATACTTGTGGATTACGCGGTCTTGTTGTTTTGCTCCAACCTTTATGCTATTTTCATCTGCCAGACTGCCGTCATATACAGAACTTGCTAAAGAGGCGCTAACAGAGGCTATTAAGTCGTCCTCATCATTACACGCATCACCATCGACATCATCATGTTCTAAGATACCCTCATTACCTTTATCATCACGTTTTAAGATATCCTCATTATCTTCAATATCATGCTCGACGATACAATCATCGTTAACATCAATTTGTTCTTCGATTCCGTCAGTATCGATATCTTCAAGTGCGTTATTGCCTTCATCACCTTTATTTTCTGCATTATCGTTCTTTTCTGTTACACAATCATTACAGCCAGATCGTCTTCTTCTTGTCAAATTTTGAATAACTATGTCCAATCCTGCAACAAGTTTATCTAATCCGTCAGTTGATTTTGTTTGTATGTTGTTAGCAATGTCCGAATTATTCATAGCGATAGCGTTATATAATTTAACCTCTGTCTTAACTAAGTGCTCCTTTATTTCAACCGTGTCGAGACTGCTTTCTTGCTTCACGGAAGAGACGTCATCAGGTGGTAACTGGTGAGATAGTTTAGGTTCCTGGACCGTCGTACCCGACTTCCCTTTTGGTTTATTTGAGGCATTTTGTAAAGGCACATTGCTTTCAAATACAGGTGTCTTTTTTGCAGTGGCAGACGGTACGTTTCGACGGAAATGTGCGGGAGTGTTTATGTTCCCCTGTGGTTGATATTGAACTACGATAACATATGTATTATCAAGCGGGAACTTTGCTATGCCGACGCCGACAAACTTACTAGATTTCCAGATCATCTGGGTAAAGTTTGACGTTTCTAAAAAAATCAAAGATCATTGGTGTTGATAATTGAAATACAGTATTAATTAATAACTGTTCTGTCTCTCACAAGTTTGGTCATGTCTGTTAAATAATATAGAAAATGTTTAAAAATTACAGTATTTAATTAATAGTCGTATCAGGTATTGGTTCTAGAGAACAAATTGTTTTGAGAGAAAACACTTGTAGTGTGAAATTGACGAGTGTTACCATAGAAAACGATTGAAGCTGCTCTCATGAAATGTTTAACTTTGAATAACTTATGTTTTCTAAACGCATTACTATTGACTGTTCAATTCCAGGCTGCATTCATGTCTTATTATTATTATTTGCAAAATTAAACTTTTATCTTGCTTTCAATATAATAGTATTGTTTTTTTTATAAATATTTCAAACCTTTTTTCCAAGCAGGGCGATGGTAGTTATAGCCTCGACCCTCCCTGTACCATGTATCAACCACCTGTCGACCAGATAAGTTATCCTCAATATCCACAACTAGTATGTTTTCACCACGCCCTGACAAACAAATACACTCACATTTTATTCTCTATCAATCTACAAATACTCGCAGTCATCTTAAGATCCATTTTAAGATTCTAGAAATACATTTGCTAAAGTGATATGTTTTCTTTCTATTACTCGTATTTTCTAGAACATATTTTTTATGATTTTGATGGTAAGAAAGTTTATGTTTATAGTTCATATCGAAATACTCACTGTTGTAATTGTAACTGTGATCCTATGACTGATTCAGAGCAGAACTTATTTTATTTAAAGGGCCTCCTTTATGTATAGACTCATGATATTGAGCTATTAGCCATGAGGATTGTTCTATTGAAAATATCTTCATAACATAGCATTTAAATGACCCATGATATTAAACTTTGCATGTGCCATAATGGAGGCTTGCAAATATTGAAAATATCATTACAACATTTTACGTTCAGATTCGAAATATAAAAAATCGGTTTTACAGTGAGGTTTGTAATATTATAAATAACCCCATACCAGTTTACAAATGTATGTATACTCAAAATATTTTACAACAAAGGTTAGAATATTGAAAATAAATATTCTAATAGCACTTATGTTTTAACTTGGTATACTGAATATTGCTTTTTACCATATAATTCATAAATTGAAAATATGATAAAGCCATGAATTAAATAAATGTCATCATTTAACTGCAATATTTTACTTAACCTCGGCATATAGAAACATAATTTTGAACAATGCCCCAAAACATATTACCTTGAGAGTCTTTATATTGAGCAAACCCTCTCATAGCCAATAAATCCGCCCACTGTTGGGCCTCTCTCGCAAGCTCCGTGGTAACGGATAACTCAGGACAGCCATGTTGATGGCGATACTCGTTATGAACGTGAACAATTTCATGTCTCATTTTCTCCAAATCTGTGTTTAAACGAAGTGTAAATATTATAAGTTAATATTATAAGTGTGAAAGGTAAATTTACCTGCTAAATTTATGTGCTGCATTTATCTTACTTAGAATTTAGAATAGTCACTTCGAATTTGAATTTATTTCAAGATCAAAGTACATGTACAATAATTGAGCTATATTACCAACAGTATAGAACCTGGTCAGACTGCATTGATGTACAGGCTGGCGAGACTCTATACTGTTGGAAAAGGTTTGTCATTTTGAGATCTAGCTGATTGAGGATTAAGAAACTAATCATTTATAACATATAGAATGAAAACATGTTTAGTTTGTTTTTTTTTACAATCAAGAAGTAAAAATGTTCATGAATTTCAACTGAATCAAATATCGATTATAATTTTAATCAGTAAGTAAGCCTTACGTTCCATGCGTTCTCTAAGTTTATGTATGTCTACATTATTTATCCCTGGTACAGCCCAGCCTTCCCACATATATGGTGCGACCTTCACACGCCAGTCTTCCGCTACATCGCCACATAAACAACCCTTGTCCTCAAAGTCGTCGTCATCTAAAGTTGACCTTGACACCGACCTACTTGGACCCCAGCTGTGACGATTTGTTCTGCATATAAAAGAATTGTGTTACTTTTCGTTAGTTAAAATAATAAACATTAATGTGTAAACTAATAAAATTAAAGCGTGTCACTTCTTGTCTAGTAAGATTATCTTATTTTTTGATAAAAATATATGATTTTCAAAATTCAATTACAAATTTCTGCTCACTACTATATCAACATTTCATTGAAAAAAAAATCTAAATTGAATAAAGATATTTGGCGATGAATATGAAACTCATTTTTAAATAACAAAACAAAAGAAAAAAATTAATGATATCAAACCTGTTGGAATTGTGTCTGGCTCTGTAAGAGCGATACGGTATTGTCTTTCCATCTCCGTCAAAACAACCTCCAAATCCGGGTACCAGTTTTCTAGAACTACCAGTAGAGTTAATACTTCCCTGGCTTGACCCAAGCCAGCTTTGCCGCTGACTAAATATCTTCTTTGACTCAAACTTGTCGAAATCAATTTCTGAAGAATTGTAGTCATCATCGGTTCCTCTTTTATCAACAAAATCAACAGACTTGCTTCCTTTAAGCTTGTTTTTACTTGTAGATTTAGAACTCATTGCGCTCGGTAAGACATCTTTTCTTATTGGCATTAACGGTGTCCATGTTTTAAACTTTGTTTCAGATTCAAACGTATCTCCAATGTCATTAACCCGCTTCCGGATTCCGTTTAGATCATTAATGACGTCATCATACACATTTCTAATTCTGGCCTCAAAATCGCGTGCTAGAACATATTGCTGCATTATCAAGGTATCTTTTAAAACATCCAATGATAGACGTATAGTATCCACCTCTCTTTTCAATGCCTGACTATCTCTTCTGTCTGTCTTTATATCTTTAGAGTGTGTTCCAACATCTCTTGCGTACTTTCTAACACCTGCTTTATTCATATCTTGGGAACTACTTGGCTCCACTTGATCCTGCTGCTCTAAATAACAATATTCCTTGGCTTCCATCTTTCTTTCGCCATCGAACTTCGACAAATTTAATTTTTGATCAGTTGAAAACATAGTTTAAATCTTGAGAAGCAAATGTTTAAAACGAATGTATTAACTATTTTCCGCTGGATTTAACAGGCAATTCATAGACTATAATCCGATCCTGTACTAGTTGTTGATCCAATTTCATTTAAACAAAAGTTTTGTCAATCATTTCACATATTTAATTTAAGAAAAAAAAACTTCTTTTAATAACTTATACAATATCAATTTCCTAACCTTTTATCAACCCCAAATATCGCTGCGGTTTATGCCAAAAGTAAAATACGTTATGTTTGTATTATAGCTTATGCAGAGAATAATATTTTCATTACATGTTATTTTTAAATTATTACATATAAGAATCTAAACATAAGTTAGAAACGAGATAATTTAAACTGAAGGGTTTACAAAATTAAATAATTGTATTGAAAGTAAACAAACTATTCCATCTCTATCAAACGTTAAAGAAATGCTTTTCCATTCGAACGTCAGACTAATTTTAATAATATGTCAAGTGGATTTAATCGTTGCTACCGGAGGTCCACACGAACGATTGTTGGGTCAAAGATTTTCGGTATTCACAAGTTACCATCGTTTTTTTTTATCCGGGACCTGCTGACATCACCGGCTTTGACTCTGGACAGCTGCTGGCCTGACCTTTGCTACTGGCAAAGGTATATCACTTCCGGTCACTTCTCATGCACAGTGTACAGTTACTTTGTAAAAAAAAAGCCACATAAAGGAGAGACCAAACATGACCTGTATAGTAAAGTGGCCTTTATTTGGAGGAAACTCTGCTCTTTCTTTAATTCAGCAATGAAGGACTGTGGAATAGTGACTTTTATTTACTTTAAGTAATTTTAACTGGGGAAGCGATTACCTCTACATAAAGAAAATATATTTATATATGTACACATGTATGTCTATTTAAAGGATATGTTCTTATATAATTATGTTAATTAACTGTTATATCGTTTAAAATTATACATGTACTGTAACGATCTATCATATATTTTATTGTTGCATTTTATGCAAAGGATAATGTGTCTTCATTTACAAAAAAATGTGCGTCAGTGTGCGTGCGTGTGTGCGTGCAAGCGCGGTTGTTTGATCAAACCGAAACAATATGTTGACAAAAAACATGTAATATCTAATATATTTGAGGGTATTAATGTGTCGAGTACAGACCACAAATGCCAGTTTCCGGTCAAGTGGATATATAATATATATATCAAAAGACGTTTATAACAACGGATTACATGTAATTAATTATGTTACGTCTATACCGTTTTACAATTGATTTTAATCCTTTGTTTGTATGTAATTGGAGAAATTGAAATCGCTTTCACAACGACGAAATAAATGTCAATATATACACAACATTTTTAGATATACTTTTCAATGCCTTTTGACATTGATATATGATCATAAATACTGTATTAATATATCGTCATTTTAAAATTTATAACAGGTTTTGAATTTTTATTTGACAAGAAAGATATATCAATAATAAACCATTTTGTTTTCGTTTTCTTCACGAAGTTTAAGTTTATATATTCTATACTAAAATAGTTTTAAAGATAACATAGTATCAAATTCAAGCTGTAGTATATAGTATTTCTGGAATGAATACCTTCCACTAAATAAATTTAAAAAAAAACTTAATTGTTTAATCGTAATAGTTTTAAAAAAGAGAACATGAGGTCTTTCTCACCAGAAAAGCTGGAAAGTCGCCATGACCTTAACTAAAACTTTTAATCGTAAATCTTTGTTGAAGACTGCACCACACTCCATACATGTGTTTTATTATTTTAATTAATAAATTCTTTAATTAACGTTCAAAGTGTTAACAAGCTTTCAACTAAATAATACGCATTAGGTGTGTTTATTATTTTGTTCTTATTAAAGTAGCTGAAAGTACCTTTCTGGATTTTATTTTCAAGAAAATTAGTGGGTTTTTTTTTTCAATTAATAAGCTATAAGAAAACCGGTATGCTAGGAGCATATGTTAAAAGATCAGGAATTTCTCACAAATAATATTCACTAGAGTACAATTTTATTCTTTTGTAATATAAAATAGTTACAATGGCTATATGCATATACGAATATTAACATGCATAATCCCATGAACAATCAGCCATTTTTTTGGTACATGGTCACTTATGTGTTACTCGCTGATAAGAAAAATAAAACTTTTGAAATAGCTAAATAAAGTTCTTTAATGTTAAACAATAAACTACATAACAAATCAAGAAGGTGCAAATGTTAGAAAGTACATGTTGATAAAAAAAGATTAGTACGTTATTAAAACAGAGGATATTAAATTTTGTTTAGAGTTCATACAAGAGTTCATACAAGAGGTTCATACAAGAGTTTATACAATACTGGTACTACGGAACCACGAACAATTCGCTGAAATTATTTGAAAATCAGTTTAGACATTTTTATTGTTCCAGCATCACTTTTTTATTTAATCTGCTTGATAAACTCAACCTGAAATAGAGAAAATCATATATGAAATACAGAAAATCATATATAAATGTACCTACCTCAAACTTTATCAAAGATAGGCAAAGTAGTATAAGAGTTTCAAGGAAATTTTATTCTGAATAATATAAATAACTATTACATCAAAAGTTATTGAATTTTGTATCTTATCCGCCATTAGAATATCAAGATTTGTCAAATCGTGTCGTTTTTACAAATGATGATAAATTTGAAAAGAGATTTTTTAAGAAAGCGTTTTAAACTTCCAACTCAATCTGCAACAATAACTTTCTATTTAATTCATGAAAATAAAAAGATTGTGAATAAATAATTGTGACTACACAGATAATGATAATGTAATATGCGTAACTGCTCGTAAAAGTAACAATATGTTGAAGTACACGTGTTGTTCGTAAAGATGACAATATGCTGAGATATACGCGTTTTTCGTAGAGATGATTTTTTTTAAATTAACGCGTTGTTCGTAGAGATGAAGATTTATTGAGATATATGTGCTGTTTGTAGAGATGAAAATTTATTGAGATATACGTGTTATTGTTAGAGATGAAAATTTATTGAGATTCACGCGTTATTCGTAGAGATGAAGATTTATTGAGATATACGTGTTGTTTGTAGAGATGAAAAATTATTGAGATATACGTGTTGTTTTTAGAGATGAAGATTTATTGAGATACTTGTGTTGTTTGTAGAGATGAAAATTTATTGAGATATACTGTTATTTGTAGAGATGAAGATTTATTGAGATATTTGTAATGTTTGTAGAGATGAAGATTTATTAAAATATACCTGTTTTTTGTAGAGATGAAGATTTATTGAGATATACGTGTTGTTTTTAGAGATGAAAATTTATTGAGATTCATGCGTTGTTCGTAGAGATGAAGATTTATTGAGATATACGTGTTGTTTGTAGAGATGAAAATTTATTGAGATATACATGTTGTTTGTAGAGATGAAGATTTATTGAGATACTTGTGTTGTTTGTAGAGATGAAAATTTATTGAGATATACGTGTTATTTGTAGAGATGAAGATTTATTGAGATATTTGTAATGTTTGTAGAGATGAAGATTTATTAAAATATACCTGTTTTTTGTAGAGATGAAGATTTATTGAGATAAACTGTTGTTCGTAGAGATGAAGATTTATTAAAATATACCTGTTATTTGTAGAGATGAAGATTTATTGAGATATTTGTAATGTTTGTAGAGATTATGAGGTTATCACATATTGTGGAGTACGGTAGAATCAATATTTATTTAACAATGTCTAAAGACTTTTTTATTCAACCACTTATTTTACCACGAGTTTTATAAACTGAAAATCAAGTGAGGCCGAGTACAATATGAATCTGATATAAATTTCTATGGACTCGAAAAATGAAAACGAGGCTAAATTGGATCCAATTATGATTGCTATTGAAACAGCACTGGTGCAAACGTTGGAAGTTAATTGATTACTAGTAATTGATAACATTTAAGGTGGAAATAAAATGATTTACTGAGATATATTTACACATGTTTTTCGTGGAGATGACAATCTACTAAAATATACATAATGTCTTACTAATATCTGCCTTGCTGCCTTTGCCTTCGTCTGTAAATGATAAATAATAATTAAACAATATTTAAAACAAAATCAACCGAAAATTAAATTAAATTACAAGCTGTGTATTTAAATTGTTTACACAATTATGGTAAAATTGAATTATTTATAAACGTTTAAATTTTTGAAAGAAACTGCCTTTTAAATCAAAATGCATAATGCATAACAAATATATACTTTACTTTAAAAGGGAATGACTGATTTGTAAGCTGATAAAGAAATTACATTGTATATATACACATGAAAATTTACTAAAGCATATCAATCACTTAAAACGTAATAACGTCTTTATGACGTCATAAAGTACCTCGATTTCTTTTTTAGTTTACGTTGTTGTTTACGTCGTCTTCCAACACTGCCTTTGCCATGTGCATAATCTAATGGTAACACCGTGAACGAAGTCTCCATTCCTTCCATCGCATGAGCGGCCACGTGACAATGGAATAGCCACGTGCCTGTATTATATCCGAGCATTTCAACAGTCTCATATGTTCCTGCAAATACTTCTAGCACGTCCCTTTTTAACATCAATGATGTTTTACGAAGATAGAGCTGACCGTGGTAGTGAACAGTATGTATGTCCTCAACCGAGCCAAGTCCAAATACGTACCAAGCGGAATGCTCATTTACACTGAATACAAGACCCTTTAAATTGCCGTAAATAAAGCCGTTGATAGTATGCATAATGTTACTTTCAACAAAATCTGGGTCATCTATTGATATTGGAGGAACGCTTGCAAAGTTAGTTTGTCTATAATTACTCAGATTCTCGTCATAAATGATAAATCCTGTAGCAAACTCTTTTGTAACACCGTCCATTCTACTTCCACTAGAATTTAAGATACCTGCTTTGCAAACAACGAACGGACCAACCAATCCGCTATATGTATCATTCTTTGGTTTGACTCTAGAGACGTACAGGGATCCTACACAGTTTGGCTGTGTCGGTGTTGGTCCTGATCTTTCAGGAATGTAGTAAGTATAAACGTTCGTCTGTCCGGGTAAAGTCGCCGGTGCGTTTGATATAGATGAACCGTCCTTAAAAACAACATTCCTCGGAATAATGTTGTACGGATATGATGCTAGATTTTTAAATACAATTTCGATCGTGTCACCAACGTTACCGCGGATAAATGGTCCAAGTATTCCGAGATGTAACTCGTCGTCTGCTCTTGCCTTCAATGTAGTAAACGTATGGTCCGTGAATTCCCTGTACACGGCTTTCATGTACCTTGTCCCAAGGTATGGAGGATCCGTGCGAACATAAATGTACCCTTTACTGAAATGTAAGAAATAGTTACCTGTCAACAAAAAAGTGCATGCTTACTGGTTTCCTAGCAGTTTCCGGTCCCTTGCAGTTTTCCCGCCCCTTTATCATTTTGCCAAGTACAGTCTAATTTTCCAGAAGGGCATCTATGTTACGTCATCAAATCAGCGAGACACATTTGTTTTCTATGCATCACAGCAGTTAAAATACTACAGTGGTTTATATATTTTGAAGTTTTGCCTGTTGTTTAAAGTTAGCATAGAGAACTTGCGACATCAAAAAATAAGGAATACCAGGGGAATTCTAATTGAATGCCCATGCGCAATAACTGAGACCCTTTTCCAATAAAATAAAAAATTTGGAACAATATATTTGCAGACGACACGGAAAAGGTTGTAAAGTTCTATTTCTTTGATAAAATCATCTTAACATTTGTTACTGGTACTGAATTATATTCAAAATAAAATAGTCTGAAAAACTGCTTTGAAATTTTGAATAAATGTGAAAAGGTGTTACATCAGAGATGTAGATAACATGTTATCAATGTCTCTGGTTACATTCATGCCTATATTCTTATTAAAAAGTAAAACGTAAAGTAAAAGAGCAGCATTGAAAAGATGGTGATGCTGGACAGGTACCTAACTTTGTTTTGTCAATGTTATGTACTCGTCCGTAGACCGATCTTATTTCTTTGTTAAAAAAATGAGATTTGGGGCTGGAAACTACTAGAAAACCAGAGGGGGGACAACGTAAAGGATGGATTATTTTGTTTTGTGTTCAAAGAGTGATTAACATGTTTCATGACAATGAACGCTGCAAAACTTATGCGTTAGTAAATGATAAAATTTATGCTTTATTTAATTATACTCATGCGTTAGATGATAATTCAATGCGGCTTCCGTAAAACATTATTTTATTAATTTTGGATTATATTTTATGACAGGGTGTCATTATTGAAGAGAATGGACATCTTGTTAAACAACATATCTATAATTTTTGACCAACTTAGATATATCCGATAAGATTATAAACAATTCATACTAACTCCTTTATGACAAAATGTATATGCTCACCAGCCTTATGTTATAAAACCTTTTCTGACCTTCAATTCAAATTTCAGGGTTTCTATTGGTCAGTTTGCATTCTGTACCGGTTACTGTCCAATCAAATGCTTTGAAGAAATATTTTTATATGCTGTACTCACCTGATTGTAATTCAAGCTCTCTTTTCAACGTTTTATGACCAGTTTATAAAATAGGTATATTTTAAATAGAAAACATACAATTTATTTTCGATTTGCATACAAAATACAAACAGCTTACTGATCTGGGTTAAGAAGGCTCGAACCATCAATAGGATCAATTTTAACAGGGGCATAATCCCAGTGCTGTTCTATTGCTGCAATTAATATAATACCGCCTCACTATACCGGATACAACAGGTGCTCGTCCACGAGGTGGCGGTATATTCGCAATTTTGGGTTGTCGCCCTTGAATCCTTGCACGCCCTCCATATCGTGAGTTGGCCATGTTTTGTAATAGTTGATCTGGACATGTGGAGACACTATACCAAGTGTATAGTCCCTCTGATTCAAACCCAAGCTGACCATCTCGTAGGAGTAGTGTACCTTAAAAACAGACATACCTAAAAGTGTTCGTATATGACAAAATCAAGAAAACAGACAAGTAAAATATTCGACATGAATTCATGCATTAAAGAGACTCCAACCGGTTTTTAATATGACGAGACTCGAAATATTTCTCCGAGATTAAATTTTGTATACCAATTTATAAAAGTCTGTGCTCAAAAATTCTGGTATTTCCCGCATCCCGTTTTTTCACGATGTGCAAAATGACCAAAGAATGAAAAGAATTTTAACGATTTTTTATTTTTATCAGACTAACAATTGCACACAAATAGATTTTCAATTTATGTCTGCATGTTTCTTTGTTATCCTTTGCAGAGTTTTCCATTTGAAGTGTGTAAAGGGCCGAAATGTTGCGATTGATAAAAATAGACAATTAAAGTTTATTTTTCTAAATTTCATCTGTTTTTGTTAATAGTCAATCAAATGACACCATTTTTTACATTTTGAATTAGTGTAATGACATTCGACACGGATATACTAAGAGTTTAAACCTGTTTGATCTGGTATCATAGTGACAGTCTGTCCAACACCCGGAAATACGGACGCTGTGTCTAGATTGCGGTTGTCAAATTTGAAGTTGTTACCCTCGAAACTAAAATGATGATGGTCCACCTGGCCACCTAGTCCGTACATGTGCCAGTTTACATGTTCACCTTGACACATCTCCAAACCGTCAAGAGATCCAAATGTTCTACCGTTAATGGCTGTAGAAATAAAATTAAACCTGTTGTGTTAGTTAATAAATAAATAAATAAATAAATAAATAAATAAATAAATTTTAAGAGACATATACTTCAAAGACGGTCTGTCAATACTTTAAGAAGCTAGAAGCTATTGCTTAGAAAGGCCATCAAGCAACAAACTAAAATCTTTGTCTGGGCGTTGCCATTGTGAGACAAAGACTCTTGTTGTTACTGAGAAATGTTGCCATGGAGAGGTTGAACTTTTGTAAAATCTTACTTTGAGAAGATTCGATTCTGTTGGTTGTATACGTACCATTTAAATCAGGTCTAGACCATTTACACATTCAAAATCATTTGAATTGTGCAAAAATGTCTCAAACATAAAGAAACGCTAAATAACAATTTCAAATTTTACTTTAAGGCTTTTTTCTATGAGCCGCAATATATAGGTCCTTTGATATGATTCAGTACTTATATATTAAACAGAAACATATTATAGATATAACAGATATATTAAACAGAATTGACTGAAGGGTCGTGAATGTTTAGTAGAAAAAAGAAAAACTACCTCTCATTTTGTTTGATAGTTGAAAGTCTGGATCATTCTTGTCAACCAAGTGTTGCTCGTTAGTAAATCTCTGAATATTTTCATCAATGTACCACGACTTGTTTTCATCTATCACCATCCAGTTTAAGTAGAACTCACGATCTACACCAATCTTTAAATAATTATATACATTAGTGAACAATTTAACATATCTATGTACATGACGTAATTATATAAATAGCGTGCAAGGGACATTCGCTGTGTACATATAAGCATATAACTGTTCAATAAGATTTATTTAAACTTTGTTTGGTCTTAAAATATGATAACAGAAACTTTTGAAGTCGGCATGCAGTCTTATTTCAGAGTAATCTGCCCTTAGAATTTGAATGTATCCAATCAAGGGATACATGTACGTGCATACGAAGTTTTTCACTATTCCTCCTACTACAAGATGTCGGGTAAATCGAACAAAGTACACGGAAGTATTTGACTAGAATTATCAGAAGACTGACGGAAAGGGCCGAAAAGTTACGATCGAGTGGTCCTCCTGGACTTCGCTACACAGAACGTAGTCAATCAAATTAGGCGTTCGGATTTCCGGAAATATTCGGAGCATTCCGATGACAGGTTGAATACCACCAATTTATTCGTTTCTGTTTACGGTATAAAATACCTGCAATAACTTATTCACGAAGTGCAAGAAAGATCTGGTATACATGTTCAGTAAACATGCTAGCTTGACAAAATTCTCACCTGTTTACCATCAGACGATAATGTTCCACGTTTACAAACTAGAAGTGGTCCAAACAGTCCTGAATATATGTCCCTAGTAAAATCTACAGCCGAGTGATATATATACGTCACGCAATTCGTATTTAGATCCGTCGGTTCGCCGTTAACGTAAAACGCGTATGGTCTTCTTGTACCAGGGGAAACTACCGCTCCGCTCATCGCAGGATCTTAAATAGGAAATCGAAAAAGTTTTTAAAAAATAAAAATTTATATGCATGCATTGTATAAAAAATTTCAAACACGTTTTATAACATGTATCTTACACATATGTATCAATATAGCTTGAAATACATGCATGCCTATATATATGTTACTTATTTTCTGTACGTTTTTTCAACATTTGTTGTCACCAGAGACATAAATATCTCTGTTGTCACTGATAAATTCATACAATCTTAGAAACTACCAGTCCCTCCATGAAAAGTACTTTTTCACTACGAACGGTCATAATTCTTACCGTTTCTAACATTCTTGTATAAAGCCCCTTCTTTATACTTGGTCATGGCAACGCCGTTCGCTAGAAAAGAATACGGCCTCGACGCGTTGTTCATAACTAACACCTCAACGTAGTCGCCAACTTCAACTTTTATAGGCGGGCCAGATAACCCATGATGTAACTCACGAAACCCGTTCTCTTTCCGTACATTAAAGGACGGGTCCTCGTATTCAACAAACATAGCCTTTTTATAAACCGATCCTATACGTTGATTCCCTCCTTGGATAAACCTTGATGCACCACTGACAATTGAAAGAAAATCATTATTTTATCATTTATCGATATATTAGATCATAATGTTTTGGAAATTAGAAATATTCATCTTATGTCCTTATCACGTAAGTCTCTCAATACCTCTTCATGAATCGAATCGTACTAATGTCGGTTAATATCGTTATTATCCGGAATCCACTTTCGCCTTCATTCGGCAGTTTTCGTATTTACCCATTTTAGTGCAAGAGGAATTTGAAGACACCAAGATGGAAGCTTTAATGTCAGTTATCCTTGCTTTAATGTATATATGCAACATGAAAAAACAAACGGCAGAATACGGGAAACAATCGGGCCATGAGCAAACATACAAGCTGTCTTTAGCAGTATGGCAGTCTACAGTATAACCTTAGCAAATTGAAATAGTGAAATGCTCTGGAATTTATGTTTACTGAAAATAGTTTATCCACACAGAAAGAAGATAGCAAATTGCCTAAAATAGTGTTTTATTTAATATTCGAGGCTAAAAGTAAGGATTTTCATCTTTTCTCCAGAAATCGGGTTTCTAATAATGTCAGGGATTGTTTTATTTTTTCTCAAAAAGTTTATAAATAATGAATTACATGAATTTTGCGGAGTTTCAATCTGCTGTGGTACAAGGGTGACGAGCGGCTGACCCAACTGGACTGCTAGATTGCTAACTTCACAAACAAAATAAGCATGATTTTGTTGTTATAAATGAAATCATAGTATTGAAATAGAAACGAAAACATGTAATAAATATTTTACCGCTTTTGTTTGTTCATTTTAACATAAAAAGTAAAAAAAAGAGAAAACTTTTTTTCTTAAAATGGAAAAAAACAAAACAAAACAATATGGAATATCACACTGTTCACACTAGCAGACTATTCTTTTAACGCACTAGATTCGTCGCGGAATGAGAGAAAAAAAAAACATCGTCTTACGGAATTGCATTCACATCAACATCCGGTGCATAGTCCCACAATACTTCTTCTATAGCTATATAATATCGTCTGGTCACTGTCGGGTGTATAACTACTGCTGGTGTAAACATGACCTCGTTAGGAGGCGGCGGACAATATCTTACATCTAAAAATGCCTGCATTCCCTCTGAAACATACTAATATTACACAGCAAAACAAAGCAAAGAGAGCAATGGCATGTACACTGGTACTTTAATATACTTCTATACCAAACCCATCGTCGGAACCCACGGTAAGCATTCCGTATATACTGCATTTCATACATATATACGGTAAGTAGCCGGGGTTGTCGAGGATGTACCATACCCAACTTGGAATAAAAAGAGGTGCATTTCCTACGCTCCCTTCGCAGTTCACTGAAACATTCGACCGATGCGCAGGAAAGTATGCATTTCCAAGAACCTCCCAATAGCCTACAATAACTAGTACATGTAAAATTATACTATATTAGAATATGGCGCTCGAAGTACAAAAACTGTTTTACAAAATAATTATGTAACCTGTTTGTTGTTCAAGTCGACTGTAGAAATATATCATGCGCAAATGAAAATGATTTGTCTCCAGTAATAGAGAAACATTATATGCTTTACAATTTAGTATAAAAGAAATAAATGCCACGAATTACGTATTTCACTGAAAACAAAACTTCAAAACTTTCAAATATAGGTCAAAATTTGCAGTCGACATACCATCATAATGTTCCTGATTTCTACAGTAAAGTAACCAGCGTCCTTGGTTGATAGGTGTCATATAACCGGAGTAAACACTTGCTGGGTGCAATACCGCCGTGTCTGTTCTATAACAAATTTGATAAAAAAGTGTCAGTAATCAACTATTTTGTGCTTAAAGTGAGCATTGTCCTAAAAGATATTGTCAGTAACCTTCTACATATTGCTAAATCACTAATATCTTCAAAAATAATGTCCAAAGTCAGTGATCACGTGCAAAACATAGTCTAACTCAGCATTTTCCTTAAAATTATGTCAGTTATTCTGTAAAACACATGATCTACGTCATAAAAAATGCCGATTACTATGTGTAACAAATGGTTTAGTCATTGTTGTCCTTAAAACCAGCGTGGCTGATCCTTGTGTAACAATAGTCAAAATATCATCCGTAAAACAATACGAGTGATAATGCGCAATATATGGCATCAGTCAATGCTATAACTGATACTATCTTAATATTATAAAAAATTTATAGGGCATCAAATTGCAACTCTATTTAATTATACAGCTTATATGACGCTTATAATAACTGTTCGTGTGTTATATATGTGCAAAAAGAAGATGTTATAATTAACAATAGAGAAGTTACCGCTTCTTTTCTATGATCATGGTCTGTCCGTTCGCGTGTATTGTATGTATACCATCATTGATAGACATAAAATACCACACAACATTCTCTCCTTCACATACTGTATAGTCTGGTAAATTCCCATACAAATACCCGTTGATGTGTGGCATTTTGTTACTTTCAGCAAAGTCATCGTCACCAGTTTCCTATTCAAATAAAACTTTAAGATGTGTATTTGATGTTCAAACAATTTTTTTTTAACAGCAAAACATGTTAATTTAATCAATAAAATACATATTCTTACAGAAACTTAGAAACTATTCTCAGGAATTATGCCCTAATGATTACTGACATAGTCATAATTGAGGCGGCAAAAACTATCCTTATCCTGTTTGTCTTAACCCTGACTTCCGGTAGATTGATGAACTATTCGCCGTCCTTTTTTCGGTATTTGCCGGACAGATAATCCGGCATTTTGACTTTTTTAACATAAAAATCTTGTATCACGAATATGTTTTTTTATTTGTTTTTCAGGAAACCCCAGGAATGTTTTTTCTTTAAAATAAAGATCTAAAAAGCAATTTATGTCAAATCATAAACTGTTGTTGATGGTGTTTGTTTCGTAACTTATTATCAAACATCATTTACCTTGAGGGTTTGGCACAATGTGGGGTTTCCACATTTAGATACATGTTGGTCGGCATACAAGTTATTATTTTCGTCTGCTATATCCGCGTACAAGAAGAATTCTTTATCTACATCTTTCCTATTGCCGTGTATATCAAGAACTCCTTCAAAGAGTAAAATGATACAGTGTATGTATTTTGGTGCTAGAATTCTCATTTCAAAAAAAAATGAAAATAATAATAATAATTAAGTTTGAACCTACCAGTTGACAGAGACTACACTGAGGATTTTATGGGGCATTTTTGCATGGCGGGATGGAAAATATTTTTTTTTCAAGATTTGTGTACCATTTGAAAAAGGTCTAGACCAATATCTTGTACGCAAAATTTCAGATCACTCACTTTCCAGTTTCATTCTGCAAAATGAGCCAACATTTAAAAGCGTTCAAACAATTAATAACTCAAACGGGATAAGAATATACAACCAAATCGATGTTCAATTAAAATCTGAGTAATTTTCACTTTTTAAAATTTTTTTGCATGTTTTTTTTTTCATTTCAAGAATCCATTTGATCTATAAAAGAATTTCTAATTTAATGTTCTTTGGCTTTTTGACCTCAATGGAGCAATATATGTCAAAATCTGATAAGATTCCCATCAAATAATAATAATTATAATAATGATGATGATGATGTTGATTATACCAGTTTGGATAATGTGCAAAAAAAAGATAAACAAGTTTGTTTGACATTATTTCCTACTACCACGGGGAATAAATTTTTTTTTAAATGATTTTACCTTTTTTACAAATAAGTCCCACACCAAAAAGACCAGTGTCTACATCTTTAGCGGCCAAAGTGTGTGAGTGATAGGTAAAAGCGTAACAGTTATCATCTTGCTCAGTAGGCGCATGCATTCTAGACGCGTTCCAAATGTAGGTGGCGCTACCACCAGGAGGAATGGCGTCATCTAATTTGTCGATCCCACTTGTTCCATCGAGATAAAGAGCCCCTTAAATTGTATATAAACATTATAAATGCTGTTTCTTTCTTATTCTTTTATGACAAATTGCCCGAAGACAAAATCGAAATTTCAGACACTTCATGTTTTTGTACGAAATCATATAAACATGCAAAATCCGCACAAAGTTCAGTTGACGTAATAACTTAAAAGTTCTTTCTTAAATTTCGTAGACATTTTGAAAGTGGTGCTATCATGTAGAAAATTTCGCGTGCATGTCAAGTCACGTGATTACCAAAGTAGATTAATGAAACTTTGTAATAATACCATATTATGTAAAAAATATTAAGACAACGCATCAATACCATAGAGAGCAAATCAGCTTAAACTCGTGCGTTATTTGATGTTATACTTTACATGTCTACGTTTTGTCTTAAGATGGTGAATTAAGTTATATAAAAACTTATTCTGATGAATGGTATTTACTAGCTGTAAACGTGCAGTCCTTAGATTTATGTGTTCAATTTACATAATATTTCCATTAAATTGACAATGATACAAGCAAACTTTGAATTTCTTGTGGTTGAGAATGATGCACAATGCTATATAACCCATAAAATATGCTAATGTTTACTCATGACTATTAATTATAAAATACTGTTCACATTCATACATTACGCCACTGATTGCACGTACAACGCACGTACAGCAAAAAAGTGCACTGGTAAACCGCTGATCCCCGACCCAAACCTTTTTTTTTGGATTTTTAAGTCGAATCTTGCCTTTATTTTGCACAATTTGATAAAATTGTGAAATTCTGCAATTTCTCTTTAACGTAGGCATTAATTATTAATTAATGTGGTAATCAAATAAACCAGTGATGCAATACAGTCTGAATGCTGTTTTTGCTATATTTGCATAAACCTATTAGGAAACATTTTAGTTTTTGTTGTCTTATCCAAAGATTATATTCAGTCATGCTTAAACAGGCTGTTACATACAGCCTTGTCCGGTTTCACATACTTCCGGTATCACAGTTGGTGAGAATATTAGAATTATTTTTACACAATTGACAAAGTGAAGAAATACAAAACATATGAACGGTAACGTGGTTACAAGAAAAAAAACACTTATGCTTAAAAGAAAGTCAAAAGATCAAAAGGAAGTCAAAAGATCTACCTTCGTTTGATTTATTGTATTGAAAACCATGAGGATGAACGCTGAAGTTACTTCCGGTCGCACGGTTACGGAAGTGGATGAAAACGACGTCATCAACCTCGGCCTTTATGAGTGGTCCTACAAAACCCGCCCATTGGGGTCTTACAACTTGTTGAGTAAAAGTAGCATCTGTATACCCGCGATAGATCGCCTTTTTATAAATACTACCAATTCTGTCAGGACCAGATCGTGTCTTCTTTATGAAGTTCCTATATCAACAAAAATCATGTTTATTTGTCACAAAGATGGTTTTACAATGCAATGAATGTTTGCGTTTACATTTCATGAAGAGTAATGACTCCTGAATTGAATTATATTTTTTTACTTATAGATTATCAAAATTTACGGCACTTGAAAGCATAAGAGAGTTCAAACAATACAACAAAAAAGAGAACAAACATGGCACTCATAACCGAAAAAGCGAATGACGAAGATGACTCAGTGAACTTAAAGCATTGTGGATTTTACAAATATATATTTTTTATCATTACTACATATTAAAGTCTGAACCTTTGATATTTTATGGAGTCTAAAATAGCTATGACTGATACATGTACTTGTGTCTTTCACGTGTATTTAATAACTACAAATTAGAAGATGAAACTCATCACCTTATTCCTGTCGATTACAGAGTGTACATTTTTTTCAGTTTTAATACCAAAATAATGACGTTCCTGCATTCGAAGCGCTAAATTTTCAAAGGATAATACCTTCATTCGAACAGTAGGAAAACTGGAAATTCAGTTAATTTTTTGAAAGTTTCTTTTTCTTCTTCTTCTTCTTTTATTTTTTTTATTTTCATTGATTTTATTGATTTTTTTTTTGGTATCAGTTAATTTTTAACTAATCATGTTATATCTGTTTCAACATTTGATATTGTATTCGATTTTTATGCGCATGCCAAATTGAAGGTTGCATCGACAAATACCTCAATCACATGTATTTTCTCTTTAGTATACAATTCATTACTTTATTTCGATCCCCATGTACCGTTGCAAGTTCTGCCTTACATGTATATTGTAATTTTAACAGAAACAAATACTTATCAAACCGCTATAAGTTCGATCCACCATTATTATTATTATTATTATTATTATTATTATTATTATTATTATTATTACAAATAATGTTATAAAATTATTCAATTTATTATAGTTTATTGTACATATTTCAGTTTACTTAGAAATTCATGAGAGAGAAACAATAAACCTACTCCATTTCATTTGTGACGAAGTTCTGCCCAGATGGTACATAATTCCAATCCACTTCCTCTGCCATAATATAATAATGCCGCTCCATTCCAGCCACCGACGTAACACCGAAAATAAGAACTAAAATTTGTGAAACACACATCGTATTATTATAATAAACCTATGACATCTAACAAAGTTTCAATCCGTGTTGGTAAGGCGATTACATTTGTGATGTTTGCCTCTTTATTCTTGATTTGTAATAAGACATGGTGCATACATTATAATGTTTTTATAAAAACAAAAACATCAAAAAGCAGTCTTCTCAACAAACCTTTGAAAATGTCCAGCAAAATTGTTTATATTCTATTTGTACGTCATGTACTCGTACTTATATAAAACTTCAGTTAACTTTTTCTGGCGTTCTTCTCAGAATATGATTTTAAAGCTGAATAAAAAATATGGAGGACATGAAAAGAGCCAGTTCCTCTCATTTAATGTTCATTGCCAAGAAAGAGACCGACAAAAATACCAACTTTATTGTTCAAGGTTGGAGATTCAACATTCCACCTATATCCCTTAGTATAAGCACACATAGTTGCTCTTGCCTTGAGAAATATAATTATCTCAGTGTGGATTTTTTTAATTTTATGCTTTTCAGTGGATTACTGATTTATCCGTGAAAATTATATTTGATAATTTCAAAGTGAAACTTATCAAAATATAATTTCACACTTTTCAATGACGAAACTACTTTTTTAAGATTTACCCCATGTGGTACCTCAATTTTATTTTTGCTGACAATTCTGACAATGTCAGGCTGTTTAAAGAAAAGCAAAGCTGAAATTGATAAATAACTTAAATGTCAAAAGTAATAAAAAGAAGAAAACTTACGTCTATTCATTCAAATTCTAATCACCAAATTTCGTCTCTACATTTTTTTGTTTCATTTTTACAGTCTGAAAAATACATCCCTTCCAAATGCAAAACTGCTCTTGATGACATTTGGGCATATTGAAGTATCCTACGAGCAATAACTGCCGTATGCTTTATGAAAACTTGAAAAGCAATAACAGCCATCAGCCGAAGAATAAGTAAACAACCCAGCGTTCCTGAGCCAGCCTTTGAAGTTTTCCATTTTCCTTGCTGCTTTTTGAATGTTTTCACATCTGTCAACACTTATTTTTTGTCGTTTACAATCCTCAAATAAGTTATCTTTCTTTTAAAAAGGGGTATGACTAACAAATCCAAATGATATCCCTCTGAATCAATCACAATTATTTTCGTCCAGTGAAATACACAACTTTAAAAAATGGCTGCCGCTTACATTTACAAAGCCAGGTCTAATATAAATTCGCAGAAAGTAGCAAAACTATGGATGGGTAGTTGGCATTTTTCTCGTACAAGAATTGTTTGTTTTTATTATTAAAACAAGCGATCATTTATATTTTTTCTAATAAAATGAATAATATCACCGTCATTTAACGTTTATTGTCGAACTTATTTTTCAGCTCATGACTTTTTGTATTAAATGAGAAATTCCGACTAAATGGTGCTCTCAATGGGGAAAACAGATTTTGATATTAATGTTAATATTATGGAAATTTCGTTTTAACTTGTTTTTAAACATAAAATAAAAAGAAAATTTAATTGTTTGTTGTTTAAGGTGTAATTTATTTCATCTCGTGAACTTCAAAAGCAGTATTTTCACTCGTGGCTACGCCACTCGTGAGAATACTGTTTTTAAAGCCCACCCGATGAAATAAAATTTCATCTTACACACAAACAAACAAATATCCTCTATATCATTAAATCAGTTTAACAAAGTCCTTTATAAGTGTCATTGGGGTAGTTTTAAGAAAATCGACTTTAAAGTTTTGACCATGAATAATTGATTGCAGCGTTTTGTTGTAGGGTTGAGTCCAAGTTATTCCAATTTAAAGTTTTAAATGCCGAAATTCCGGGTTAGGGGATAAAACCTTGTTTTATTTCCACGTGACGACATTTGTGCATTCTGATTGAACACATTTCTGACATAGGTCTTTGAATTTTTTTAGTGTATATACATTTTGGACATAGACCTTTTTAGTACATGTATTGACAATAACCTCAGATAGAAAAGATAAAACCCTATAAATACGTGTCTAAATAAAGTTCTATATGTGGACACAGAACCTTGTACACAAATTCCACATAGCCCTAGCTTAGCTCGCCGACTGGGAAAATTGGACATAGAGCTTCGTAACACTAAAAGTTTCTATAAATTGCATCTGGACCTTTGTAATAGAGACAGTAACTCGAGATAGAATAGAAAAAGAGCAATATAGATTACACTATGAGGAAGGACTTGGAATTTCAATTCCAGCGGTAGATCGACCAAAAATGGCTTTTAGGACATTGTATTACTGACACGGCGATATTTATTTTAGTACTAGTTTGAGACAAGCTTTTCTTGCAATTTATATCTTTTATCGTTTATATCTTTTATCGTTTATATCTTTTTGACGTTTATTTTTTTATCGTTTATATCTTTTATCGTTTATATCTTTTATCGTTTTTGAGTCCGATTTCTGGAAAATATTGGTATTATTTGAGGAACCATAGTGGTGAACTAAAGAAGGCTTACACCAACGACCTCGGCAATCAGATATTTTAAACAAAATGAGTTCCTCTACATGCTGTTTCATAAATGCCATCCTCAATAGATACTTTTTCGTACTTTTTTTCATTTATATAATTTTGACATCTTCGAGCACGAATCTTTAACGCGTTTATTTACGTATATGACACATTTTAATTAGCTTATTTTATCTTTTTTTATCTTGTGAGTTAAATTAATATCAAATTTTGCATTGTCACAAAAAATAGTTTTCGACGAAATTTTCACGTTTCATAAAACCTTTCAATCTTAATAAATTTAACATAATTTTTGCTAAAAATGCATATTTTTTGTCTAATTTGGTAAACTGCAATTTAATGGTTTTCAAGTTTCATTGTACTTAAAATGAAATGCAACTTTTATATGATTAAACGAGTTTAGTCAAGTAAACGAATTTACTGCACCAAATGTCACCACTTTGATCAGGTATTCATACACTAAAATGCACAAACGTTTTTTGTTATTGTTTCATTTGTGCACAATAAGCATCTAAAAACATCTCAAATGTGTTTTCACACAGGCACCTTCTTTTGTGCGTATACGCACTGACCCAGTTGTTTGCCATATTCATAGAATATTAACGTAACGTAAACTTTACAAAACGTGAACGTTAATTATCAGTACAGGTGTCGAACAACAGGGCCATCATCCATAGTAAAAAGTAGGAAATTACCATATTTCGCCAGAACCGATTAATCTACATAAATCATGAGTATTTTAATACGTTTGACACTGTTTTTGTATTTTGGTGCATAAGGGGTGACGCTGAAGTAACGTTATGCATAAGGGGTGACGCTGAAGTTCCGTGGTACATAAGGGATGACGCTGAAGTTCCGTGGTACATAAGGGATGACGCTGAAGTTCCGTGATGCATAAGGGGTAATGCTGAAGTTCCGAGGTACATAAGGGGCGATGCTGATGATCCGTGGTACATAAGGGGTGATACTGAAATTCCGTGATGCATAAGGGGTAATGCTGAAGTTCCGTAATGCATAAGGGGTGACGCTGAAATTTCGTGGTTCATAAGGGGCGATACTGAAATTCCGTGATGCATAAGGGGTAATGCTGAAGTTCCGTAATGCATAAGGGGTGACGCTGAAATTTCGTGGTTCATAAGGGGCGATACTGAAATTCCGTGATGCAAAAGGGGTAATGCTGAAGTTCCGTAATGCATAAGGGGTGACGCTGAAATTTCGTGGTTCATAAGGGGTGATACTGAAATTCCGTGATGCAAAAGGGGTAATGCTGAAGTTCCGTAATGCATAAGGGGTGACGCTGAAATTCCGTGGTTCATAAGGGGCGATGTTGATGATCCGCGGTGCATATGTCAACGCCGACGTCTGGTTGAGCGGCCTGCTTAATTATTTGATATATTAAAAGTACTCCATTATCATTTTTTTAATTGTTATGAATAAAAATGTTAATTAACGAAAACAATCAACTGAATAGCTGTTTATTGCACGTACACAAGACAATTGAGTGTAAAGAGCTAAAGACCAAATTAAAATCATCATGTGGTATTTGTTTTTTTTTTCTCCGATTGTTGTTTCGTGAAAAGTTACATAAACCTTTTGTATATTTCAAACTATTTTGACGAATTTATGTTATACTGTATATCTAATTTTGATTAAAATACGTATAACACAAAAGAGTCAATCATAAATTGTGGCTGTGATAGAGCATGTGAACGGTTGACGAATTGATGTTACATAAAATACAAACAGTTCATGATTAAAGAGAACATGAACGCAATCTACGTCATAATTTATTGTCGTTATTAAAACGTTTTTAAGTATCAACTAAAATTGTTTCTATTGTTGCAGTTCCTATAATATTAATAACTCAATTTTGTAGAAAACTTATTCTCACCACAGCTTTAACAGCAGAATAGTGTTGTAAACGCCCGCATTTTTAATGCAAGGGAAATAATCTCAATTCATTCATCTAAAATAGTCTGAACATAGTTGAGTCCCATTAACAGAGAGGTTAGTCTCTGAACGACAACTTGGCTATCATGTAATTACATGTACATAATAATTAGTGGGGTTTTTATTTTTGTATTCAGTTATTGAAATTTGTTTGCTTTTCAGATTCGGTTCACTTTTCTGTTATTTAACCATGAATAGGTTGGTGAAAGTGGGTGGGGACATGGTGTAGACGCTCACGTGAAACACATCAGTTTAACAGTTTATTGAAAGTGCTGGGCCTCTTAGAGGCATCAGTCACATATACAATAATATATACATATAATATGACATATCATAAAGAGATATCCACGAAATATACTGATGTATTACATGGCAAATATAAATCAAAAATGAAAGTGTTACATTATGAAAATAAGCTTAGTTATCAGTTACTTAAATGCTGAAATATTTTTTTACAGAATACTGCAAGTTTTAACAATATACCCCTATCTGTGCTATTCATTAACATAGAAAACTTGATTGAATTAACATTAGTACTATACTCTCTAGTAATATATTTTTTTCTATCAGTATTAAAGAATTGACAATTTAATAAATAATGATATTCATCAATAAGTGAGCTATTATTGCATAAATTACACACTCTTAATTCTCTTGGTATATTACAAAATCTACCAGACTCAA